AGTAATACTAGTTGTGGGTCACATCGGGGATATGGGATTGTGAATGGCAATGTGGCATGGACATAGATTAACTTCTCAAGACCAAGCTCCAATATCTTTCCAATTATTTTGAGCTCTGATTCAAACTTGGGTACCTTGTCATTCAATGCCTGAATATCTTTCTCAGCAGCAAGAGACTCCAATTCTCTTTGCTTTTCCAAGACCTGTCCAACAAATGCAGAAAATGCATTAACTGATGACTCCAGGGACCCGAGCTTTGTCAGGATAGGATCCTCTGCTGTTCTATGCTCAATGAACTCCCCAGTCAACCACTCCTCACCCCTGTTCGAGTATTTGGATCCATCAGCTTCTCCATACCCTTGCTTATCGCAGCTATCACCAGTTGACTGACAGTCTTGTTTAGTGTTCTAAAGGGAATCCCCGGAACCCTTTGAGGTCAAGACTGTCTTTGTAGAGGACTGGAGATTGCTTCGCTCTGCTCTTTGCCTTCAAGCTCTGAGCCTGCAGGCGTTGATGAGGTGGTCTGTCTGCTCCCTCGAGGCTCTCATCCTCCTGGAGGCTCAGTTCTTCTAGCTCCGACATGAAGGTGGCAAGTCAGCTCAACTAAACAAAGGAATTTGTTCTCGTCCACATGAATCTATGTTTTTATATAGATATCTTCTGAAAGCCAAGATACCTATAGATAGGTTCTGAAAAACCCATCTTGGGTTTTTTACTAAGCCTGCCTCTTACCCTGGCCTCGAATTTCCCCCATTAAGTGGTTGCTTTTGAATGTCCTAATCCTTAAACATCTGGCTCCCAAATGAAATAAAAGAAAAAATTCCACACAAGCAAAACAATTATGCTCTTTTAAATCTCCTGGAAGCTAATATACCTAATTTGAAACAATAACAGCCAGCCTCTGTGCTTGCCCCTCAGAACTGAAAAGCAGAAATCAGCAATCATAACACAGAAATCCAGTATTTAGGGAACAAGGTTGTTATTTCCCATCCTGGCTCCAGCAAGCGCCCTTGAATGTAAACATGGCTGCCTGCCATGGGTTGGAGGTGTAGGAGATAGATAGGTGCTATCACACTGAAGGCTGACACTGACTGAAATTCACCTAATTTACCAACCAGCATTCCCTGGAATATGGAAGTTTCCAAGTAGACTCCAGAGTTCCAAAACAGTTACTTCAGTTTCTGCCAGGACAATTGTTGTCTAGGTTGAGAGATGAGTTCATTGAGCTTCCTACGCCATCTGAGGAACAGAAAAAAAAAGAAAGAAACATGAACAGAGGCATAGGGATCTGTGGGAGTCCTAGGAGAAGAGAGAAAAAGGAGGAAGAATAATTATCAAACTGTAGAAAGCTAATGAAAAGAATTTTGAAAGCAGTAAAAGGGAACTACTTAATCACATACAAGGAATCCTCCATAAAATAATCAACCAATTTCTCATCCTACACCTTGGAAGTGAGAAAACAGGAGGTTGATAATATTCAAAACGCTGAAAGAAAAAACCGTTGACAAAGAATTCTATATCCACCAAAACTGTCCCTCAAAATGAGGGAGAAATTAACAAATTGTATAGTTAAAAAAAAAAAGCCAAGGGAATTTCTTACCATAAGTTACCACTGAACCTGCCCTTCAAAAATGCTAACGGGCCTGGCTGGTGTAGCTCAGTGGATTGAGCACGGGCTGCGAACCAAAGTATTGCAGGTTCGATTCCCAGTCAGCACACATGCCTGGGTTGCAGGCCATGGCCCCCAGCAACCGCACATATATGTTTCTCTCTTTCTCTTTCTCCCTCCCTTCCCTAAAAATAAATAAATAAAATCTTTTAAAAAATTAATTTAAAAAAATGCTAAGGGGAATCCTTAGGTTGAGATGAAAAGACAATTGCCAGTAAGTAGAAGCCATATGAAGGAATAAAGCTCTTCTTTCAAGATTAATAGACGAATAATCATAAAAGCAAGTATTCTGTAATTATAGTTAAGTCCATTTTTTTGTTTTCTCCATTACTTAAAACACAAGTGCATAAAAATATTAATCTATATTAATGGACTCAGAATGTTTAAAGATGTATTCTCTAACATCAGTAACAGGAAAAGGGGACTGAGCTATACAGGAGTTTTTGGTATTGTACTGAAGTTGATATCAATTCCATGGGATCGTTATCACTTTTGGCTGTTAACAATTCTCATGGCAACCACAAAGAAAATATCTATAGAAAATCACAGAAGGGAATGACAGGTGAATCAAAACATTTCACCACAAAAAACTAAATAAACACAGAAAAAGGTAGTAGTAAAGAATATGAAGGCACAAAAGCTTTCAGGACTATAGAAAATGAATAGCAAAATGGCAGAAAGGAGTCCTTCCTTATCAGTAATTACTTTAAATGCAAATTGTTAAAACTCTCGGATCAAAAGACAGAGATGAGCAGAAGAGAAAAAAAAAAAATGATCCGACTATATACAGTTTAGGAGACTCACTTTAGGTCCAAAAAGACATTAATACCTGGAAAGTGCAAGGATAAAAACAAACATATTCCATGCAAATAGTAACCTAAGGATAGTTATACTAAGATAATACAAAACAGATTTTAAATTTTTAGAAAAAGGGCTCTGGCTGGTGTAGTTCAGTGGATTGAGTGCCAGCCTGAAAACCAAAGGCTCATCTGTCTGATTCCCAGTCCTAGGCACATGACTGGGTGGCAGGCCAGGTCCCCAGTAGGGGGGGCAAGAGAGGCAACCACACATTGATGTTTCTCTCTCTTTTCCCTTCCCTTTCCTTCTCTCTAAAACTAATAAAATCTTTAAAAAAAAAAAAGATTACAAAAGACAAATAAGGACATTGCATATTAACAAAGGGTTTGATTAAGCAAGATGATACAAAAATTGTAAATATTTACACACCTAGTAACAGACCATCAAAATATATAAAGAAAAAATGAACAGATTTAAGGGAGGAATGAAGAGTTCTATAGTAGTTGAAACTTTGATACCCCACTTTCAATAATGAATAGAACAACCTGCATAAGATAAATAAGGAAAGAGAGAACCTGAACATCACAATAAATCAACTATACCTAACCAACATATAAAGATCTACACTACAGTAACAGAATACACATTTTTCCCAGTTCACATAGTACATTCTCCCCACCCCCAACAACATATTAAAAAGATTATTCATACAACCAAGATTTATCCCAGGAATAAAAGGGAATGCAAGGGAAGTTCAACATAAAATCAATCAATGTAATATATCAGATTTTTCAAATATGAGGGGGAAAACGCATGATCACCTCAACTGACACAAGTGACTCAAAGGTACTTGACAGATTACAACCCCTTTTCATAAGATCTCTCAGCTAACCAGTTAATAGAGGGAAAATTCCTCAACATGGTAAAGGTACTTGTAAGAAACCCACAGCTAACAACACTCAGTAGTTTAGCTTCCCCTCTAACATCATGAACAACTTTCTCTGATGCTATTCAACATTATACTGGAAATTCTAAGAGCTATAGATGGGGGGGGGGAGCATTCAAAATGGAAAGGAAGAGGTGAAATTACCTCTATTCGCAGACAACATAATCATGAAGAGAAAATCCCAAAGAATCCACAAGAAAGTTAATAGAGCTAACAAGTTCAGCAAAGTTTCAAAGTACAAAGACAACGTACAAAAACCAGGTGCAACGTACAAAAAGCAACAATACGGAAAGAAATTAAGAAAGCAATTCCACTTATAATGGTATCAAAAAGAATTAAATACCCTGAAAACTAGGAAACATTGCTGAAAGAGCTAAGTATGGAAAAGTAATCCTGTATTCACAGACAGGAAGACTTAAAATGAAGCTGTTTATACTACCAAAAGTGATCTACAGATTCAACACAATCTCTATCAAAATTACAACAGACTTTTTTTGAGAAATGTAAAAGCTGATCCTCAAATGTACATGGAATTTCAAAGCCATAGCCAGCTAAAACAATCTCTAACAAGAAAAAATTGGAATACTTATACTTCAAAATTTACTATAAAGGTACAGCAATTAAAACATTACGTTACTAGCATGGAGACAGAAATATAGTTCAATGTAATAGAATAGAGAGCCCAGAAATAAAACCTTACGTATACAGTCAGTTGGTTTTCAACAAAGGTGCCAAAGCCCATTCAATGGGAAAGGACGGTCATTTTAACCAACATCGATGGGAAAACGCTATCCACATGCAAAAGAATGTAGTTAAGATACAGCAGAGGTGACGACTATTCAGCATTGTGAATGTACTTTCCGTGTTCTACCGCAATACGTCCCCCTCCCCCCCACACCCCTCCAAGAGAACCTAGTAAGCAACTGGATTGGCAAGGAGAAGAAAAAAGACTTTAGAATGATATTAAGTTTTCGGGTCGTCAGGGCTGCGTGGTGGATGATACCGTTCACCTATGCAAGGACTACAGGAGACAAGAAGCAGGCCCGGAGATGAACGTGAGATAATTAAAAAGTACATTAACATTAGACCAATCTATTGAAGGTGTATGCCTTCTGGGCAGTTGGCCCTCGGAGCTCAGGAAAGCTGTCTGAGCTGGCGACAGAAGTCTGTGAAGGGTCAGCGCGCAAAAAGTAACGGAAGCCACTAGAATGCGAGATCCCCCGGAAAACCTGCTTCCAGAGCCCCAACGAGGTGAGTCCATATCCCTAAGAAGAACTTACCAAAGCTTCAGTGCGGAGGCGCCCTTCAGGTCGAGGCCCTGCTCGAGAGGAGCCGTTGAGCAGCCTGAACTCCAAACGCTAAATCTCCGCACCCGAAGTCAGAGAAGCAATCGCTGGTACCCAGAGCCCCAGGCACTCCGTCCGCACTCCTCCCCCGGAGTGGAAAGTCACTCTCGCGGCTCGGTTGCCCTTCGAGCTTTCCGATTGGCGGAGAGGACCATGGGACCAGGAAGTTGTACCTGTCCGGCGAGGGGTGCCCTTCCGGTTCCGTTGGGTCCCCCTTTGGCTCGGATTCCCTGCCCCTCCCCCTTTCCGGAGCCCCGAGGGGCCGGAGCTCCTGGCGGTGCCGACTCCTGACTGCGGCCTTCCCCTGGGTCTGTAAGTGTGGAGGCGGCCGGAGAACCGGGCAGGGGTACGGGGTCTCTCAGGATGGAGCCCCCTTGGGGCCCTGGATTGGCCAGGACCTGCTCTGGGACTGGGGCCGAGGGGCTGGCCTAGGCCCGGGGGGGACAGAAGGAGCCCTTGGCCCAGCCCACGCTGCGCCCCGCCCCTTTCCTTTCCCTCATCTGGAGTGGGGAGCTTGTGGATGCTTGTGGTACCTCCCCCTGGGACCCCAGCCGAGGGCCCAGCAGTTGGTTTGGACGCCCTACTCTGGCATCTCGCAAAAAGTGCCAGAGCTGAGGCCCCAGCAAGGCCTTAGTGCCAGCCAGCGGGAATCACTATGAGGTTACCCTTTTGCCGAGATTTCCTGCCAGTCGGCTACTGGCTATATAGCACCTTTTATATTACTGCCGCAGTTCCAATTACTAGGGTCAACTTTGGGAGCCACATATAAACAAATAAGTGCTCCTACGATATATTGTGTAGAGTCATATATGTATGAACTGCTCAAGGGGCAGTTGCTGGGAAGACTAAAGAAAGTGACTTCTGAATTTTACTTCTTGAGGAAGATAAGGTGAAGAGGTGCTTTTCGGGCGGAAGAAACAGTTGCAGTGTTATGAAAGAATGACCAGTGTAACTTGTGTGGAAAGAGGATGGATGGAAAGGGGGCGGGGGTGTCCTGTGCATAGGGGAGATAATGGGACTGAGAGAGAGACCAAGCAGGCAGTGAAACGTTCAATCTTAAAGGAGATGGATAATCTTTGGAGTTTTTAAAAAGAAGAAGGATATGGTCAACTACGCACTGTAGAAAGCCGTGCTATTGTAGTTGCCGGCCTACAGAACAGGAATTTCTACAAACTGATTTTGGACTCTTTGGCTAACGTCTAGTTATTCCTATTGGAGTTTTTATTTTTTTAATATCTTCACCTGAGGATATGTTTATTGATTTTAGAGAAAGGAAGGAAGAGAGAGAGAGAGAAACCTCGATCACCTACCTGCCATGCACACCCCAGCCAAGAATGGAACCCGAAACCTAGGCATGTGCCCCGACCGTGGATGGAGCCCACTGGTGTGAGGGTGGATGCTCCAACCAGCTGAACCACCGGCCAGGGCTGACGGGAGATTTTTTTGAAGGAGTAATGGGATCAGCCTAGTGAGTGGTAATGAGTCCTGGAATCAAGTTATTAAAGTATTACTGGAAAGAAGGCAAAAGTGCTGTAGTGAATGGTGTGAAGACTTCAAAATAAATTGGCTGTTGAGAGTGAAAGAAGTCCCAAACGTGATTCCTAGGTTTTAGGTTTTTGGTGTTTGAAGAACATTGATGCCATTGTCAATAATAAAGCCATAAGCATAGTGTAGGTAACAAGTGTGTTTTTTGGCTATGTTGATTTAAAGGTCTAATGGACTGTCCAGTGTAGAGTTGGAAGTGCAGCTCTATGTTGTGGCTAGAGCTGAAAGTTTGAGTCGTCAGCATAGAGGTGGAACCCATGAGAATAGTTGGCATCAGGAAGATATTATTGAGATAGCATAGAATATTTTGGGAGAATGATTGCATTTATGAAACAGGAAGGAATTGAAGCTAGTAGGAGTTGGTGTAGTAACAGAAACAGAGTTAGGGAATAAAGTACTAGAATGCAGAGTTCCTACAACCAAAAAGACCCAGAAATCAAGAGAAGAGAATTCTGAGAAGCAGCCACTGGGGCAGAGTATTGAAAGAATGGGGGGGGGGGGCTATTTTTTTTTATTAAGAAGTAACTAGTGACCTTTTAAAAAGCAATTTTAGCATAGTGATGAGGTGATGATGTATGAAATAATGGAGACCTCAACTGGTTTGGGTTAAATGAGAAAAATAAAAGGCAAAAACAGAGAGAGAAGGAGAGAGAAAAGGCCACATAAGAAGGATTTCGCAGAGAAAATGGACAGGCTTTGTTTATATACATGAGAAATGCATATAGAGCACATTCCAGGGACTATTATAAGCTTTTTTGAAAATGAACTTAATTTTACATTTAATTTATTTTGAAATTAATTTAATTTTCCATAACAACCCTATGAAGTAATGTTACTATTTGACAGATGGGAAAACTGAAGCACAGAATTGTTCATGTAACTTGCCCAAGGTCACACAGCTAGTAAGTGGTTGAGCAGAGTTTTGATCCTAGGAAGCATTGCTCTTGCTCAAGAATCCATGATTTTGTGCTACTGTAGTAAGCAGTGACTAAATATGGGAGTCAAAGGAATGGGAAAATGTTAAGCAAAGATAGGCTTATTGGTTTAAAAAAAAAAAAAAAGGAAGGAAGGCTTGGAAATAGATCCAGAAATTGAGAAGAAGGTAAGTAATAGATTTATGTTTGTTAGTATTTGATTTTTATTTCTTCTGCCTTAGATCCACTTCTAATCTGTGCCATGTTACGTCAGTTTCTTTCACAATGAAGTCAACCTACGTCATGCTTCCATCCATCATTTACTATCTATAATGAGGTCTCCTTTTCAACTTCAGACCCACATCCAACTAGCTAGTGGATCTTCCCCTTGATGTCATGCCAGGTTCTCTGACTAAAGGATTTAAGATCAGACCCAAGATCATCCCCACCAATATTCCCCAGCTTATTGAATGGAACTCCTAGAGACATCCAGTGACTCTATCCAAATATCTTGAAGTCATCTTGACCTTTTTTGCCCTGGTCTTCACCTGCATCACTAAGTCTATGAGTTCATTGTTGAAATAACTCTCAATTCTGTTTCTTCTCTCCAATCAAATTATTATTACTGTCTCTATTAAGGCCCTCATCATTTCTATCTTTATCTGTTAGAGTAATAGCTCACTAACAGGTTTCCTTGCCTCACGTCCACTTTTCTTAGAGCCATTCTCCATGAATTTTTATTTTTGACTAATTGAGTTTTAGACAGTGCCATAGTTTAGACATTATGCATTTCAAGTGATAGAATAGTAGCCTAGGGCAGGTATTTTGAGTAGTTTCACCTGAGGTTAAGTTTGATTAAGGTTGGCCATGAGGATGGAGATTTAGGAATTTTTAAAATAGAGAGGTAATAAAACATTGAGAAACCAGAGAGGCTTTCTGAGGAAGTAAGCCTTGCAAAAAACACAGGAAAAAATCAAGGGCTAAGGTATGAAGGATATACTTACATTACACAATTTTGTGAATCCTTGAAGAACAGACCAGCAAAAAAATGTTGGAAAACTGAAGCCACTATTTAAGCAACTTGCCTACTTCTGTACAACACTTTAAAAAGAATTATTAACTAGATCTATAATTATTGAACATACATAGCTCTCAAAAACAAATGAGAAAAGAAAATCGCAAACAATATGTATAGTTTGTATGTAAGAAACATGATTTTATTTTATATTATCTGTGGGCAGGCACATAGAAGTGTTTTTAAAATGCAGGGAGGCGCCCTAGCTCAGTTGGTTAGAATGTTATACTGATGATGGCAAGGCTTTGAGCTTTGTCCCTCATCAGGGCACAAACAGGAATCAACAAATGAATGCATAACTAAGTGGAACAATAAACTGACTCTGTTTTTCTCCCTCTCTTCTCCCTCTCTCTTTCTAAAATCAGTAAATTAAAAAAAAATTTTTAATGGGGGAAGGGAGAGTCACTAAGGACCAAACTTAGACTGAGCACTAAGTGAAAGTTAGTTGGGAAAAAGGACTTTTACTTTATAACATTCAAAATTTTTCTTATATAGAAACATATAATGTAGAGTAATAAGGAAAAAACAAAAGAGTGAAAACTTGGAAAATGTCATAAACGTCACCCTAAAGAAAAAAAGGATTGAGGTTTATAGAGAGAAAGATTGTAGTGTATTACAACATCCTTAAAAAATGGCGTATGGTGTTAATGAGAGATTAAGAAAGATTCCCAAGTAGTTGTGAGTGCTAAGTGATGAGGTAGAAGAGGAAACAGTCTGACATACAGCTTGGGAGATCATTGTGCAGAACAGAAAAGTTTTCCTTATCAGTAGTTAGTAGAGGCATTTGAGATAAGAAAGTAGGGTATTTCCTCACTTCCCATAGGACACCAGTGAACATGGTCCAACCTAGAATATTCACTTATCCTCTTTGGTTATGCATGTTTAAACAAAGGGAGATTTTCAAGTCAGTTGACCTAATTGGTTATGGCAATAATTATGGAAAAATTGTGTAAATATAAACAAAGAGTAAGTGATCTTAAGTGAGAATTATATTGATGTTTGAAAAATGGGTCATTCAAAACTTGCTAATAGAATCTGGGCAGAGTTCAGATTGAATCACAGTAACCTTGGCAATAAATGATACAGACCAAAACTGCAGCAAAGATGAAAGAGAAAGAGAGAGAGAATTTGGAAATCATTCTGAGAAAAAAATCAACAGGATGTGGTGACCAAATCGCTGTTCTATCTGATCAGTTCTTTCTTCATTTAGTAGAAGCTCTGCTATAATCTAGAGCTATGTGAGTGGTTTTTGTGAAAATTATGAATAATATCTACTGTACTTAGATGGTAACTACAGTTGGGGATTTTGTAAATCAAATATATTTATCATTTTTATTCTCTTTTATTTGCAAATGACATTAAGTTTCAGCCTAGAAAGATAAATCCACAAAAGATGGGAAAATAACAGTTAAAATAGGTGAGAAACCAAGGTAAAACAAGGATGAGGGAATAAAATGCAATCAGGAGTATGACTAATACATAAATGGCTTACTATTAAAGTCCTCTAGACTTGACATAGATTTACCTTTAAGTTGTACTTTTTGTTTTTTAAACATAAACCTTTTATTGAACTGAGTACATAAAAGCATGTAAGTCGTATGTGGACAGCTGCATGGCCGTGACGAGGGAAGTCTGACGGTTCCACAGCTGACACTCCCCCTGGGGTAGAACTCCAGCTGGCCCCGTTGTTTGACGCGTGACTTCGTCTTCCCTAGGCTTGGGCACAAATTGCAGCTTCACACTTTCCATCTCTCAAGTTGAGAAAATTATCTATGCTCTCCAAGCTTGAGTTTCCTCATATGGAGGGGGGTGATAATAATACCTACCTTACAGGGATTTTGAGGATTAAGTGTGTCTGTTTAGGTAAAAAAAAAAAGCATTTAGCACTGCACCTGGTATATAGCAAGGCCTCAGTAAAGATTCGCTATAATTCCTCTAATTTTTTTTAAATTAAGCCAGAAGAAAGACAATTATTTTCTCTTATTTTGTCATTTTTAAAAAGTGAAAAAGAAAAAGAAAGTTTATTTAAAATTTGGTTTTGCCCTGGCTGGTGTGGCTCAGTGGACTGAAGCACCAGGCCTATGAATCAAAAGGTTGCTGGTTCGATTCCCAGTCAGGGCACATGCCTGGGTTGTGGGCCAGGTGTCTGGTTGGGAGTGTGCAAGAGGAAACCAACTGATGTTTCTCTCACACATTGATTTTTCTTTCCCTTTCTTTCTCCCTCCCCTCCCTCCCCCCTCTCTGAAAATAAATAAATAAAACCTTTAAAAAAAAACAGGTTTACAGTTGTAATTACAAATAAATAATATAAAAATTAATAAAAAAATACAATAACAAACTGTTTCTTGTAGTCACAACTATAAAGTTACTTTGACAAAAAATGGTATATTGTCAAAACTAACCCTGGAAAGAAGTTTTCCACAAGGCACTCATGAGATAATATCCTGATAATGGACAGTGTTTCTACCACAGCTCACCAATAATTTCATAGGAGACAGTAAGAGTTCATTATCCTGCTGGATTTTGTTGAATGAGCTGTATAAAAAGTGACAGTTGGTCCTTGCCCTCAGATAATTAACAGTACATTGGAAAGAGAAACTAGTGACAGGAAACAATTAAGGGATAAACTGTGTGGCCTGGAAATGAGTTTATCAAAGGGAAACAATAGAATGGGCTGACACATGTTAAGGAAAACTTCTTAAACACAATAAATTTTCCTCATATTCTTGGACTATAGCAGACCAGTCAATGCAAGCACTTCCCTGGGATACCAGCTTGGCTGTTCCTGTTGGTAAGTTTCTTGAGGCTAATGGGTAGGAGGAAATAAAGAAAACTTCCAACTCCTCATCTTTGGAGTTTCTAGGAACAGTTATCCCTATGGGTAATTGTCTAATTACATAAAGCATTGTGGCCCTGGCCTCTGTGGCTCAGTTGGAGTATCATCCTCTGACTGAAGGGTCGCGGGTTGATTCCAAGTCAGGGCACATGCCTGGGTTGCAGGTTTCATCCTGGCCTGGGCACATACAAGAGGCAACTAATCAATGCTTCTCTCTCGCATCAGTGTTCCTCTTTCCCTTCTCTCTCTCCCGGCTCTCTAAAAGCAATGAAAAAATGTCCTCAGGTGAGGATAAAAAGTAAAACACTCTGAGTACTGTCACACTGTAGGTGGAAGCCACAAAATGAGCATTAAGCTCATTTTGAGTGTGAGTGGGAAAAACTAACCTGGGGGTGCATTAAGGACAAGCTAAACACTAAAAAAGAATGCCCCTTTTGTTTGGCTACTTTAAACAATAGTCATTTTTATAATTCTAGTTTTAAATTGAGACATTCACTCTTTCCAGAATGAATATATTAAGCTCCTGTAATTGCTACAACTGACCAGTGATGTAGTTTTGCTGCCTTTTTTTACTGATATATTCCCTGGGTCTGATAGATTTTTCCTTCTTTTTTCGATATTCACCATCTTTTCTCTGATGCAACATTTGCTTCTCTACATCCGTCCTCTCTCATCTTTATAGTGATTTTTCATTATCTGTGCATTCAGAATGCCATACAAGGGAAAAGCTTTTAATTTGTGGTGTGTATGTTTGTTAGCATACCTGTGCCATATCAGTTCTCCTTTCTGAATTTTACCTTTCTTTCAATGACAATTTTATTCAGCTGAACTCCTAAGCTTAGAACCTACTACACATTCCTTTTTCTCATTCTCTAAATATTTCATAGCACTTGGTATCCATTGTGTTACTAAGTGCTATGAAATATCTTCTGTTACTTTCCCTTGCTCTGTATTCCCATTTTCATTCCTTTCCAGGCTCTCTTGGTCTCAGACCTTTAATGCTTCTGCAGACGCTGAGCTGGTCTTTCTAACAGCAATCCCTCCTTCTTACCAATGCCAAACAAATCCCTTGGGCTCAACAAAGACAAACTGAGCTCTGTCATTTGTTTAGTACAATACTAGGTGCAGGAGTACACACTAGTTTCAGTGGAAGAGGGTTTGGCCAGTTACTTGGCTGCAGTAAGTAGAATTTGAAGCAAAAGCAACAAGTGTTTTGCTTTAAAAGGTGAAGGTTCCCAACGTTAGCCCATTGAATGGGATGGAGATGTTTCCTTCTAATGCCATGAAGTTTGCAGTTTGGAAGGGAAGGAAGAAGTATTAAATAAAGGATTTTGAGTGTTTTTGATAGTACTATGCTATGGGTCCAGTTGAGACAACTGTTAGCATGAGGAGTCAGGGAAAGGCCTCTAAGAGGAAATAAAAGAGTCAGAATTGGCTAGGAGGAATGTTCTAGACTAAAGAAATAATTGTGTTAATGCTTGGAGTCAGTAGAGTGCTGTTGTGCACCAGCACTGAGCAATGTAAGACCTGGACTCAGCCTTCAGGAGCTTGTGTTCTGTGCACATTTGCATCTGTGTTGTAGAAGATAAAATTATAAAGACTGGGCTTTAGAATCAGATGTGGCCAGGACCAGCTAGTTTTCTCATATGATTCTCAACTACAGCTATGATGTTCAAAGTGAATTTATTGATGCATTGATATTGTAGAGCTCTCTCTCAAGGATAGACCTGATATACCTACTAATCTCACAGAAGACTGGCATATAGACATGTGCCAGTTTATTATTTTGACAATGACTGGTGGACTGGAATTATGGTGGCATGGCTAGTTTAGCCTTTCCTTTAGAGATACACATGGGAAGCCAAGTTATCAGAAAATTATTTGGAGAGTATAGCATCAGAATATGCGGACTTTCTCCAAAGGAACTGCTCTGTAAAGGGGCAAATATGCAGAGAGTTTTGGAAAAGACACCTTCTCTGTAGTTGAATGGGTTATGCCAATGTTTATCTTAATTATACTCAAGAGGTTAGTCTTCATTCAGGAAACAATGGGAAGTCCCAAAAGAATATGAGGCAGAGGTTGGATATAATCAGATCCGTGTTTTCAAAAGATGTCAGGTAGTGGTGCTGGAGTTGGATTAGAGGAAATAGAACCTGGAAGCCAGAGAACATTTATGAATCAGTTCTAGTTATCCAGTTGATGAGTAATGATAGATATAGAGGGGCAAAGAAGAAAGAACAGAATCCAGTAGGATTAATTAGATCTTTACTCCTACTCAGATTCCCACCAAGTGGCTCATCTTTTTTTCTATATCAAATATTTTATTTAGCCCTGGCTGGCAGAGCTTAGTGGATTGAGTGCGGGCCTGCAAACCAAAGGGTCACCCGTTCGATTTTTAGTCTAGGGCACATGCCTGGGTTGCAGGCCAGGTCCCCAGCAGGGGGCATGTGAGAGGCAACCACACATTGATATTTCTCTCCCTCTCTTTCTCCTTCCCTTCCCCTCTCTAAAAATAAATAAAATTTTTTAAAAAACAAATCTTTTATTTACTTTTTATATTAAGAAATGTTTCTTGAGAGAGAATTAGATTTGTCCAAAATACATAGGATAAACATCCCTTTAAGTTTGTAACTTTCATTTATCACAGAAATACTTGTAGGAATAAATACACATCAGTTCAAACAAGAGAGTTTATCCAGGAATGGGGCAAGCAATGTCACCGCAGTTTTTTAAAATACAAAGCAAAGGAACAGTGTTTTGTCTTCATAGAAGCAGGTTCACAGTGTCATGCAAAAGAAAATAGTTGCTTCATTACTACTTGTTGGGATATTTTAGTTTGTTTTTGAAACCTAATAGAATTCTCATTTGAGAAGAAAATAAAAAGCTCTTGGAGTAACTCAAGCACTGTTCTTGTATTAAATGTCTTAAAAAGTTGAATAAATGCCAAGGTATTTATACTGATACAAGTTCACTCCTTAGGTGCCATTGACACGTGATGTTGGCAAGGAGTAATTTTTAATGGCCTTCGAAAGCTGTTGCACTGTTTCCTCTTTCAAGGCAAATTTCATTTGGATACATACAAATAGTTATGACAACACAAATTTGGTTTTGGAAGAAAAATCCAGGTTTCTTCATTGTTTGAATTTTCTTAAATTCATCCTTTTTACATTTCTGTTCTTTAGGTCTGCCAAAATGTCTGAAAGATCAGATCTCCTTCACTTCAAGTTTGAAAATTATGGAGATTCAATGTTACAAAAAATGAACAAATTAAGAGAAGAGAATAAATTTTGTGATGTTACAGTTCTCATAGATGATATTGAGGTACAGGGGCATAAAATTGTGTTTGCTGCAGGTTCCCCCTTCTTAAGAGACCAGTTTTTACTGAATGATTCCAGAGAGGTGAAAATCTCCATATTACAGAGTTCCGAAGTGGGGAGACAATTGCTCTTATCCTGTTATAGTGGTGTGCTGGAATTCCCTGAGATGGAACTGGTAAATTACTTGACTGCTGCGAGTTTTCTTCAGATGAGCCACATTGTAGAACGGTGCACACAGGCCTTGTGGAAGTTTATAAAGCCAAAACAACCAATGGATAGTAAAGAGGGATGTGAACCGCAGAGTGCTTCTCCCCAGTCAAAAGAACAGCAGGGCGATGCCAGAGGCTCCCCAAAGCAGGACTCACCTTGTATTCATCCATCTGAAGACAGTATGGATATGGAGGACAGTGATATTCAGATTGTTAAGGTAGAATCTATTGGGGATGTATCAGAGGTTAGAAGTAAAAAAGATCAGAACCAGTTTATTTCTTCTGAACCCACTGCTTTACATTCATCAGAGCCCCAGCACTCCCTGATAAATTCAACTGTGGAAAACAGAGTAAGTGAAATAGAACAAAACCATCTCCACAATTATGCCCTCTCTTACACAGGCAGTGATAACATCGTCATGGCCTCAAAAGATGTCTTTGGGCCTAATATTCGAGGTGTAGACAAAGGCCTACAGTGGCATCATCAATGCCCAAAGTGTACCAGGGTGTTCCGCCACCTGGAGAACTACGCCAACCATTTAAAAATGCACAAACTCTTTATGTGTCTACTCTGCGGGAAGACTTTTACTCAAAAAGGCAATCTTCATCGACACATGCGTGTGCATGCCGGCATTAAACCTTTCCAGTGTAAGATCTGTGGGAAAACCTTTTCTCAGAAGTGTTCCTTACAGGATCATCTTAACCTTCACAGTGGAGATAAGCCCCATAAGTGTAACTATTGTGACATGGTTTTTGCACATAAGCCAGTTTTGAGGAAACACCTTAAACAACTGCATGGCAAAAACAGCTTTGATAATGCCAATGAAAGAAATGTGCAAGACCTCACAGTGGATTTTGATTCTTTTGCATGTACAACAGTCACAGACTCTAAAGGGTGTCAGTCACAGCCTGATGCAACACAGGTCCTGGATGCAGGTAAACTGGCCCAAGCTGTCCTGAACTTAAGGAATGATAGTACCTGTGTGAATTGAACAAATTAGGGGCTTTATGCTCAAAACTAGAACTGACCGAAAACGTGGCAATAGTCTGAGTCTTTTTAGGAGTGATTTTGCTAGTTTGACTTCTCCAAAGCCTCTGTGCAGGTTATAGGAGGGCATCAAAGTACTAACAGTCCAAACAATTTACCACTTGGAGTGGTTTTGCCTTCCTTTTACCCTCTCCCCCTTTCTGTTTTGAATTATCTTGTGACTTCTGTTTTCCTTTCCCAAGGAGTATTCCATTTGTCTACCTAATATTGACTTATATTTCAGACTGACACTATTTTAGGTTTTTCACTGGGCACATTCTGAAGGAACCAACAAGTTAATAACACCACCTGCACTCCAGTAATTGATGCTATTCAGAGAAGTGAAATAGCTTTTTTGGCAGAAAAATAGACAGATATGAAGTGATAATGCTGTTGACCTGAATATGTGATAGAACTCTGGCTGCCTATTGATAATTTATCTGTCTGATGAATGAATGAATCTACTTCCTACCATTTGTACTTTTCTTGGAGTTAGCTATAAAGAGATGTTTTTGGTTGTTCTGCACTCTCTTCAACAGTATTATGACCCAATTTCATGTCACTGAATTGTTCACATAGACCAGAGTGCAATCTTTTCAGCAACACCTGCAGACACAGTTAGGTATCACCATGAGGAGCATAATCAGCAAGGACAGAAGTATAACTACAACAGTTTTACATGAAAAGTCTTCCTCAAAAGAAGCCAAATGCTTATACTTAATGTGTAACTTATCTGTTCATGCTTTTTAAGTCAGGATGGTTCCCAGCATACCAAAACGTGCTCAAGTATAATGGTCTCTCTAGAAAGAAACTATCTGGGAGTCAGTCTTTGGAGCCTGTTTTGGAAGGTAATCATCAGAAAGGTGTCTAGCCCTCAGAAAGGTGTTAGGCTTTCAGAGTTTTGTCCAGTGTACTCTAACAGTCTCTGAATTCTCATTTTCTCATGTACCTTGATTTCTAAAATGGATGAAAAAAGTGAGTCACAAAATGGAGCAATCAGGCTTTTTTGCATTCAGGTTTTCCTACAGTCCCACCTTGCCATGTTTGAGACATTGCTGTACGAAGTTGATCTTCCAGTATGGTAAAACAGGACGAGTGTTTGTCCTAAAGCACATGTTATAGTTCAGAAATAAAATGTTGAGTCTCATTAGTTTCTGACCCATGAGTTAGATATAGGTAATAGGAGTGTTAGAGTCTTTAGAGAATCTTAAGAGATCATTTTCTCCACCTCTCTTTTTTTAAGTTGGGGTATCCAAAACCCAAAGAGGTGGCCTGGCCAGGTTTGGCCAAAGTAAATAAGTGACAAAACATGAGCTAATGTCTTATTTTTTTTCTCACTACCCCTTGATTTAAAAAAATTTAGTACATGATGAAGAATACATTAGGAAAAAGCTCACCTTTGTGAATCCCTATTGGCTTTCTGAGACAGCCTGGATTTTGCAAACAAAATATCACAAAAGGATTTATTTTGTTAGTTATTTTTTAGTTAAAATGAATGTTACATTCTCCCCAGGCAAGTGACTGATTTGCTGAGTGTTGGTTAGGGAGGGAAAGGACAAATAAGAATAAATGTGAGAAGGATCTAAATGTGAAACTAATTTTGTCTGGAAACTGTTTATTTAGTTTCCATCAGGATTTTCCATTTTTTGAGTTATGGGATTGCATGTACAAATAAACCAAATACTAGGTTTAACTTGAGTAGTCAGAATTCTTAACAGTTATACTTCGATACATTTACCTGTGAATCTGATTTGAGGTATAATTTGTACCTTTGTTAAAAGATTTAAAACGAGAATAAAATTGAGTGATAAGACTAATAGTTATCTTAAGCCTAAGGCCACTCATTATATGGTCTAATGATGCTGCCTAGCATTCTAATTGTTCTATGACCCAGCCAAAGAGTACCAGTTCTATGCAACAGTGAGACACTACCATGTTAACCACCTTTTCACTATTTCCTTCGAACATCATTTTATTGCAGAAATTTCATGTTGGAGTGCTTCCTTTGCTTACATTCATGTCTATTTTTGTTACTGGTTTGAAGACTAAAAGGCATGGGTTCAAATTAGATTGGTCTTTTTGGTTGGAGACTATTTCTGGGTTCATTTAGTCATTCAAGAAACATTGATTGAGCACCTACTGTTGCCAGGCATTATGCTACATGCTGAGGATATGAAGGTAAGATTGCAATGATCCCTGCTCTCACAGAGCTTACAGTCTCATGTGGTCTTAGAAAGCTAAGATATTGATTTGCTTTTATACTAGGAATAACAAAGGAAACTGCCTTGCTTTCTTTGAGCACTTAAAATCAGCATCTTGGTGGTTTTGTATCAGTAAAAGCTATAGTTCTCATCTTTTGTAACTGCAAACCACTGAAGTGATTGACAGTCTCCATTTCTTGGCTGGAGAGGTGTTCTGTTTCTGTGAGACATTTCATTAATTTTGGTGGGATTTGACTTGTCCTTCTTTGTTTATACACATTTCTTAGATTGTATTGCAAAGTGGTCAAGTTATTGACATCAAATAAGTTTTATAGGGGAAGATTTTTAAAAACCTTATTCAGCATTTGTATCGTATGGTTCCCCAAAATAACTAAATAGGGAGAACACTCTTTTTACCATAGTTTTTTTAAATTACTGTATCACATTTATTTATTTATTATTTAATTTTAAAGACAAACTCCAAACTGAAGCGGCTCTGAGGTAAATCAGATATGGTTTTAATTTGTTTTAGTTTCTTTTAGAAAATCTGTAAGTGGAGGGTGACCAGTGTCACTACTTTTAAATATTGTCCTAAACAAACAACCTAGAACATTTTATTTCAGCTGGTGAATAGCTGTTCTAAACCTGTTGTATGTTAGACATACTTTGAACTACCTCTTCACTTATTATGGGGAAGTTTCCTTAATAAAAGTATGACAATTAAAGCTCTGGTGTGATTTATTTTTTCTCCCCTCCTTTCCTTTCCAATTGCTTGAATACAGGAATGCTTTGTTCATTCCTATTTAAAACACTTGTTAATCAAATATGCTGGGCTTGGCTTCAGAAGCAAATACGGGTTAACCAGACATTGTTACTAAGGTCACTTACTGCAGTGAGAACCTTTTGACTGCAGGGTTAGAAACTGCTTTTAAGAATTGGTTCAGCATGACTGGGTAACTCAATTGGAGCGTCAACCAGTGCACCAGGAGCTGCGGGTTTGGTCCCCGGTCAGGGTGCACGCTCGGGTTCCTGCGTAGATCCCCCTGGGGGGCGGAGCAGAAACAACCGATCGGTTGTTTCTCTCATATTGATGTTTCTCTCTCTTCCTGCCTCTCTAAAATGAGAAAAAAAAAATTGGTTCGGATACTCGAATGCCTACTAAGTGCTAGACTTGGGGAATACAAAGCCTCGTAAAGCACTGCCCTAAATACCTCTACCTAGGTAGGGTATAGATTTCAATAGTAGGGTAATGACTGCAGTAATGAAGGCAGCCAAAGGGTTGACATGCTCCCAGCTGCGATCCAGCTAATTCAGGGCAGTTCACAGTGGCTTTAAGGATGATGGCATTTTGAAGGATAAATGGGAGAGAGGTTCGGACTTACGTGAGAAAAAAGGAGGGCCAACAGTTTAGATGGAAGGCCTGACTTTCCCCGGGACTGGGGAGGAGAGGCGGGGCAGGTGAGAAAGAAGCAATAGATTAAAGAAAGAGGAATTCCAGAGGTTGGGACCAAATCCTGACGGGGCAGGCATTAGTTAGGCAATCTGGACTACTGATCCCTATGGCAGTCTCCTCTCTTTCTCTGCCACCTTTTAAATTGTAGACCCAGTAAAGGAGAAGGCTCGGACCATAATAATCCGGGAGGACCTCCCAGTGACCCTGGTGCGGGGCATTCTGATAGACGCGCTGTACTCCAAATTCACACGTCGTCTGCAATTCGGAGGTTTCGGAGAACTCACAAAGGGGAATGGTTCCCACACAGATACTAGGAAACAGTAGATGGGATTTCCGGGAATCCCCACGCCTTTCAGTCTTTTCCGGGGCGGGGGGGGGGGGCGAGGCGGAGCGGGGGGAGTGAGAAAAGGAGGATGTCTTAGAATGTTCTTCCGGACCCCCAGCCTGCTCTAGGAGGAGTGTAGCTAGTTGACACCGGATGTGTTTCCTCCCAGACTAAGTCCACCTTCCGGTCGGGCCGCCACTGCCGCGGAAATCTCGGCTGTGATTTTCGAAGTGGGTAAGTGAACTAGAGGGAGACTGGGACAGGCGGGGAAACCGGAGGAGGAGGGTAGCTGGGCACGGCCCGCGAGTGGCTAGACTGGTGCTGCAACCACATGGCTGATAGGGCCTTGGTCCTGGCAAGCTTGTCTCGGCAAGACCTGTGGCGGCGGATCTTCCAGGCCACTGGGGATCCGGATTCAGTTCATCAGATGTTTCCTAAGCTGCTCCTTTCCTACTCTGTGCGGGTCCCCAGAGCTCGTTGCAGCAACTCAGGTGAATCAGGCACTATTTCGTGATGCTCTGGAAGCGACCGACTCGTACGGGGGAGACCGGAGGAGGAGGCACAGAAGTGTTAACTTGATTTGGGCCTTAAAGGAGCTAAATCACCAGCTGGAAAAAGCAACTGGAAGCGCGAGTGTAACAAGTGCAAAGGTGCATTTGGGTCGTCTTGTCTGGGTAGTGGTGGAAATTTGAATACCGATGGAGCTTCGATGAAAAGTGGAGGAAAGATAAAGTTATAAAAGTGCGTAGGGCTAAACCATAAAGGATTTTGTATTTGCTAAGAAGGTTAGACTGCCCTAGGGGTAAAGGAAAGCAGAAGACAGTAGGAAAAAAAAAAGTTTTAAAAGATGTCAATTCTGGCAGGACCACAGGATGTCAATTCTGGTATCAAGGAGAACTGTTGGAAGCTATGGCAGTGGTCCACATGAACAGAATATAGACCTGCAGTAGTGAAGGGGATCACAAGCTTAGAGATTATATTAAGGTTTCTAATTTGGGAAACAGTAAATCTATTTAATAGTGGCCATTAACACCACAAAGCACATAGATTTAGCCAAGGAGAAAAACATAAAGACTGTTCATTACAATTCGATACAATAAATGCTGTAACAAAAATATGAAAAATGTGCTATGAGATCATAGAGAAATGCATTTTAATTTTCTGGCTTTTGAGATTTCTGGCTTTTAAGATGGTAGCATAGGAGTTCGCTTTTAGCACTCAGATGAAAATATGAGACTTCTTTTACCCAGTTCAGATTTGAGATCTTGTTTGTTTATTTTTACTATCACAGCGTAGGAAAGCATTCCCTACCTTTACATCAGTGTTTGTATTTTATTTAACTTAGATTGTGGCCATGGCTGCTGAGTCGGATGTTCTGCACTTCCAGTTTGAACAGCAAGGAGATGCAGTCTTGCAGAAAATGAATCTCTTGAGACAGCAGAATTTATTTTGTGATGTGTCCATTTATATTAATGACACTGAGTTCCAGGGACACAAGGTGATTTTAGCAGCTTGCTCCACTTTCATGAGAGATCAGTTTTTACTCACGCAGTCAAAACATGTCAGAATCACCATCTTGCAGAGTGCAGAAGTTGGCAGAAAATTGTTGCTCTCTTGCTATACTGGAGCACTTGAAGTTAAAAGGAAAGAGCTTTTGAAATATTTGACTGCTGCTAGTTACCTTCAGATGGTTCACATTGTGGAAAAGTGTACCGAAGCTTTATCAGGATATCTGGAAATTGATCTTTCTATGAAAAACAACAATAAACATACTGACCTTTGTCAATCTTCTAACCCAGATGTTAAGAATGAAGAAGAAAATGCAGATAAAGACTGTGAGATAATCGAAATTTCAGAAGATAGTCCTGTAAACATAGATTTACACGTTAAAGAAGAGGAAAGCAATGCTTTACAGTCTACAGTAGAGAGCTTGACATCAGACGGACAGGAAATGAAGTCACCAGAGCTATCTTCAGTTGATATAGGCTTTAAAGACAATGAAATTTGTATCCTCCATGTGGAATCTATCAGTACTGCCGGTGTAGAAAATGGGCAGTTTTCACAGCCTTGCACTGCCTCAAAAGCAAGCATGTATTTCTCTGAAACACAGCACTCACTGATCAATTCTACGGTTGAAAGCAGAGGGACAGAAGTTCCTGGGAATCAAGATCAGGGCTCATTTTGTGGGAACACTGAAGGAAGTCATGGTACAGCGAATGAGATTCAGAATATGGAGGATGTTTATTCACTGAGGCACCAGTGCCCCAGGTGTCCACGAGGATTTCTTCATGTTGAAAACTATCTGCGCCACCTTAAGATGCATAAACTGTTCTTGTGTTTACAGTGTGGGAAAACATTTACACAGAAGAAGAACCTCAACCGGCACATTCGAGGGCACATGGGCATACGGCCCTTCCAGTGTACTGTGTGCTTGAAGACATTTACTGCTAAAAGCACTCTGCAGGACCACTTGAACATACATAGTGGGGATCGGCCATACAAATGCCATTGTTGTGACATGGATTTCAAGCACAAATCTGCTCTCAAAAAGCACGTAACCTCTGTCCATGGCCGAAGCAGCGGTGAAAAGCTACCCATTCATGATCTCAAAAAGCAAAATCTATTATAATCATACCTTGCTATGGGAGCCAGATATTATTCTGTTAGGCAAGTCTTTCTATAGAAATGCAGCATTTGTAACATTGCATTTCCTTCTCATGTTTGGTTCTTATTTTTGGTCTATTTACACTATTCTTTGTGAACTTACACTACAACTTCTGAAGTGGGAGGCATGATAAAGCTGATGGAACACTATCTGATCTCATACATCGTATATAAATCCCAGTGGTATACCTAGAGAAATACTTTTCTTAAATATTCTTGATTCTAGTGACAGAAGATTCAGCAGTATTTCTATATTTGGGTTTTGAGTCTCTAGGTAATTGAAGGAAGTGTAAAATAATCCAACCGTGTAATAACTTTCATGAACTAGGCAATGGCAAGACAAAATAAAATATAAAGCGTACTATTATTCATTATTAGTCACTTTAAAAACAGGATAGGAAATTTTTTTTAACCAACTGCTTTTGGATTACAAACTAATCACCAAGGTACCTGTTTTAAAATGTAAAGGAACAATTCATATTCACTTGGGAATAGAATTTCCTTATACATTTCTTAAAATACTATTCCCATAGTTTAATATACATCTTTTATAAATGATTAATTAGACCCAAATATCTTTGTTTTATTTAATGCAGCGGCGTCTAATAATTTTGTGACCAGTAAAATACACCATTGGCATGGAGCTCTATAAATTACTTTTTTAGGAATCATAACTTTACCAAAGATATTTGTTCTACCCTTTCCTTTTTAAAGTTTCTCATATTTTTTTGATTAACGTATAGTAAAACTGACCTTTGTCAATTTTGTATCTATGTGAAAGAAATAATGTGCTCAAAACCCTTGCAGACATCTCTGAGGTGGTCAGGTGAAGGAACACTTCCCATATCTGCTGCTTCCCACTGCTTGTTTCCTTCTTGAACAGGGATGCCCTCTGCTGAGTGATTTGTTTCTGGTACAGTTTCACTATTTTAACACATGTGTAAATTGTGCAACCACCGCTGCAATTGGGATATGGAGAATCACCCCCCCCAAATCTCCCTTATGCTACTCTTTTGTAGTCATTTTCTCCTAACTGCCAATAGTTCTCCATTGATATATTTTTGCCTTTTCTGGAATGTCAGATATGAAACCGTAAAGCATGCTCCCTTGTGAGATGCTTCTTTCACCAAGCATTATGCCTCTGAGATTCATCCATGTTGTGTGTATCAGTAGTTCATTCCCTTTTTTATTTCAAATTGTCAATACATGTTAATTTTCTTGCTACCACTAGATGAGCAGTTTAAACATGGGTAGCTGTTAGTGT